AACAGGTTTATATAAATTCCAGTCTTATTATATTTCCACTTACAGCACTGAAATCTGCCCAGCAGTGGTATTTCTGCTTCTACCACAGATGAGTGTCAGCAAAGGAAGACATTTCTTGTTGCTCTCTTTTTTAAGATCCAGTTGCTGCTAGTGCTAATATTATGCTTCTAATCCGGATTTTCCTCCCCTCCCCCTCTTTCCCCTTTTGCTACTTACTCTTTTTTTCCTTTGTCTTATCCTGAGGCCTCCAAGCCTGCCCACCCCACTCCCCTGCTCTGTAACAGGAGACCTCAGCTGCTTTGGTGGGTGATGGAAAGGACATTCTGAATGTCACCTCTTCAGCCAGGACCCAGGCTCTTCTGCTGTTGTTTGCTGGGAACATGAGGAGTCTGAGTAATGGTGCAACTTTGACACTCATTCAAGAGCTGCTCATCCTCAAATACCATGTTGCTGGTTTATCTCTCTCTCCACTACTGTTAGCTGGTTCTGTCTCTCTATTAGCTGGCCACTCCTGAGTCTTACTCACTCTCACTTTGTTGAAAGCCACTAAAATGTCATCCTGGTAAGGGAGACTATATAATCACCAGTCATAAAAAACTGTTATGTAGCCAAAACAGAACATTGACTTCTCAGTCCGTACGATGCCCCTGACCAGACCTGGCCCAAATACTACAGAAATTCAGTCTCTGAAAGGAGAACCAGAATTAGGAGTCACAAAGGTCACTAGAATAGTGATTAGTTGCCGGCAAACATCAAGTCAGTGCTCACTGGTGGCCACAAAAGGCAAACAGAATGTTAGGAATTAGTAGGAAAATAACAGAGAACAAAATAGATATTACTTTACCAGGCCCACAAATCACCTACTACCTGCAGTTTGGCCCTGTGCCGCTAGGAAGAGTACAAAGAAAGGTGAGAAGATTGATGGGAGCATTACAGGGACAGGTTGTCCAGGTTATGACCTTTCACTTTGGGGAAGCATCAACCAGGAGGGAACATGATATACTTACATAAAATTATTAATACTTTGGAAAAAGTGAAATTGGATTTTCACTAGTCAGTCAAAATAGACTCATGCACAAACTACTAGCTGGACCTTTGCTCTGGGCTGGTAATTTATAGGACAGTATCTCTGCATGATGCTGTCCTTCTACTCTGATTTTCCCACAGTGGAGCAAGCCTTAGAGAAATACTGTCTTCAGCTAGAAGATGGGCAAAGTGCCACATACAGCTGCTATTTTACATCCTCTCAAATGGACTGATGATAAGTTTTGTAAAGCAGTCAGCAGAGCAAGTTATTTTGGAGTAAAAATCTCTGAAGACCTGGGGAAATGGAGGGAGGAAGGAAAGAAAGAAAAACAAAAGTCTGCTGTTTAAGAAAAGCCTGATATAGTCAGCAGTTTTCTGAAGCAGTGAAGGAGCATAATTATCATAGCAAAATGGTGTTTGCCTGTGCCAGAGACCTGCAAAGCCAGATTTGTCACCATGGGAAGGATCAGTGGGTAGTGCTAAATAGCTGCTCCCAGAAACAGCAGTCACAGTTCTTGCTTGTCTATCCCACCAGCTGCAGGCCTGCATCCCCAGCAGGTAATTCCTCTAACAATAAATAACATGCAGCAGATGGACAGAAATCTCTGAATTACTCAACACCCAGTCATACTTGGTGCTTATAAATGAGAGATTCATGTCCAAGCAAAGCTACTTGTCACCACGTCTGTCACCTTTGTAACACAGTGTTTAGAGAGAACTGGTAATATATCAAACATTGATCTGTACATAAACATTGACCAGGTGTATATAAATAATATCTCATGGAATATGAGATATTATTGGAATATTATGAGGGTCTCGAAAATGGTCACCCAGTAAGCTGGTTAAGTTGAACCAGGGCAGAGTAATCAGTGGTAAGTACCCCCCAGCACATGTAGGCTTAACTTCATTTCACTTTAGTTCAGAGGTCTACATCACAGATGTCAAGAGTAGCATCTAGACTCCTCCAGCCGTGAGTGTCTCCCTAGGCTAAGCAGGTTGGTGATAATCTGTTCCAGTTGCACATGGAACCATGCCAGGACTGACTGAGCTCTGCTGCCTGTGTGCTGGGATGGAGCAATGAGCCTTTTCCTGATCTTCTCTCCTCTAATGTTCCTATATAGATGCATATGCCAAACCACAGCCCTACTCACTGTCTCCTTTCCCCAAAAGCTCTGGAGGACTGGTTAATATTGCTGCAGAGCAGGAAGGATGGTACACATCTGAGCATGGAGCATGGTTCTGATTGAATGGTACAATTCAGGAAACGTTTCCTGATAGTTTTGATGAGTTCCTGCCTGTTAAGACCTTTGCTATTGAACTGGGGGTCAGCAAAACTGCTGCAGCCCTTTGGTGGTATCAGCGTTTTTCCCAACACATAAGTAACACTGATGTCATATATGAGATCTCCCTCCAGCTTATTCCATGGAGAGCAAAACCAAAAGCGATGGGGGGAAAAGGGCCATTTCTACCACCTCACTCCTTCTGCCAAAGAAGGAAAATGAATCCGCCTCCCAGTGGAAGACCAGTAGTTGAGAAATCTCTCTAATTTGTTCTTCTGGTTCTAAGAGCTGAAATCAGGTATGAGACTGTGTTTCTGCAGAATCCATTGCAAGCTGTTGAGAGAGTGTGGAGGTTTTTCATATTAAAGTAATCTACTTTGAGCCCCACGCTTCTTGATTTGACTACTTTAATATTAAATTATCTAGCTTACTGCATAAGTATCTTTACATCACAGATGAGTATTCAAAATAGCAAGGAACAGGTTAGGTTTCCATATTTTGCTAGAAAGCAGTCAAGTGGAGAAAAGGAACATAGGAAGGAAATCCAAATCCCTAAATCACTCTTTTGCTATTGGAGACAATGATGTTGTAAACACTTTGAGAATATTTATTGTGAAAATTTTACTTCTTTTGTCTCCATTGTCCCTAGTGGGGAGCTGCTCCAGAACTTAATTGATGTGACAGTTTTAATTACTGTCTAATCTAAATTTACAACTTTTTATCAAATATAAGATAGAGGATATTTTTAAGAAAAGTTGTCTTAAAAACGTACCTTGCTTTATATTCCCGTATCATCTGAAGTTCATAGTGAGAGTTTGGATCCGTAATTGCACAAAATCAAGCCAGAGTCATAGGAGGGGCTTTGGATCAAGCCAAAATTGTGACACAGCAGTCCATGGTGTGGTTAATCTCCCATCATCGGCCATTCAATAAGTAGTAAGTTTGCAACCTGGCTATACATCTGAGCACCCTCTGTAGTCAATGTAGAGGAGCAGACTCCTCCACAGGAGAGTTTATCCTAAGCTAAGATAGGTTTCTGAGCTGTCCTTTGGAGGTATCTATTCTTCTCCTTTGGCTATAAAGGGAGCCCAGGAGACTAGCTCAGAGTACACACATCACTTTTGTTTGGTTAAAGGTAGAAGAGGAATCCTATCAGTCTTGTGCAGCAGGGTGGTTCCATCTCTGAGACCTTAACTTTAACCTAATTTCATGCTAATGAACCAGAGTGGGTTTGGGTAAAAATGTCTTATGTTAGGGTATTTATTATAGTATTTCACAGTGATCACTATTAATGGCTATTTTTGAAAAGAAAAATTAGACAAAGAAATGAGTAACAAAAATTATACACGTTACTGATAAATAAACATGCATCGAAGAAAAATTTTAAAAAGTGTTATATTCAGGGACTCTAATAAGACTGGTTAACAATGGAAAACTGGTTCTTGCTTTTGAGATTCTTCAGCATGGAAGTTTGCTGTAGTCAGACTGAGTTTGACACTCAAAAGCAGGTAATCCTTATGTCGCCCCATACGTACCCTCTGCCGTTCTCCCACGATACCTGCACTTCCCCCTTCTTCTACCTTCACTTACCTCTATTTGCCTGATGCGGCATACCTATCTGCTAACTGCCCAGTTTGTAAACCCAGATTAATAAACTAGCTCAGTGCTGTGCTCCAGGGTAACCATGAGACCAGCCACTGTGCAGATTACATGCAAACCAGATTTATTAATCCTGAAAAATAAGATTCTTACTCTTGCTGTGACCTTTTACACCTAGAAGTAGGAAGCATATACCCAGAGCTGGAGCCTCCTTACAAAGGATGATGAGGGCTGGTAGATGCTATGAGCCACCAGCCACTTATAGTCCAGGCAATGACAACCTAAAGGAGGCAGGAGCAAGAATTTCCCTGTGGATGGGTTGGCATGAGACACAGGAGCCCAGATAAGTGCCTTCTTGTCGGTGACCTGACTGCGGATCTCTTTTAAGGTTTTATTCTTAGTTTTACCTCTGTACATGGGAAATAGTGGAAATTGTAATGAGAGCATGTGACTTTCGATCCTTTGGGAGCTTGGGTTCCCAGCTGAGAAAGGCTTTGGGTGTGCTTGGCACTGTGAATCAGTTCCACATCTGCCAGCTGGACTGGAGCACTCCAACTATAGCGATGGGCATGGTGACAGCCCTGGTTATCACTGGAGTCTGTTTCCCCAGCCCCTGGCCTCCTAGTCACATTACGTATTTAGCAGGTCTCTGGTTTTGCACCACAATTCCCTGTGTTCTCAAGTGCTCAGGACTGTTAGCACATCTATGAGCAGTGAAATTCTGGTTGCAAGGGCAACAAAAAGCAAAGTCTGTGATGTTAGAGAGACTACCCTCTATGCACTGAAGAGCTGCTCTCCTGATCTCTCCAGTGCTACAGAAAGACAGGAAGCAAGCAGCTTTTCATACAGACTGGTGGGGAAAGGCCTCCTCTCTATCTTACTGCAGTGGCCTGGGATTTTTCAAAGCACTCAGGTGCCATCACATCTTTTCTTGCTATAGAAACTTAGCTGCTTGTCATGCTGTGGGTAGGTCTGAAAGATATGGGCATGAGATACAGATGTCCAGGGACACCACAAGGCAGTCTAGACACAGCCTCTTCTCTAACATGGTTCTCCAGAGAAGAAATGGGGAAGGAATGAGTCTGTGCTCACCTGTGAGCTGCCAGTTGACTGTGCTCTGTGCTGTTCTGAAAGTAGGGCTACTCTGACGTTGGTTCCCCAGATCTGCCACTCAGGCCTGCTGTGGGAAGATGAAGGGATGCAGGATTTCCATCAAGTACTGGGGAGAACCAAGGGCTGAATCAGACTGTTGGTAGGGAGGAGAGGAGATGAATTCCTGTGGGCAAAGAGACAGTTGGGCAGCAAAAATGCTTCTTTCATTGTATCTTGTTTCAGTTTTCCTGCTTTATATCCCTCTGATGAACCTGATGCTGCCCTCCCAGATAGGCAGGTTGATAGGAGCATGTCCCTAGGGGCAGCTGTCATGAGTGGTAATGCACTCAGTGAACATCTGCAGTGGAAATGTTTTTTGTGAGTGAAGCCCCAACTATACTGCACAAAATGCAATACTCACAGCCAAACTCGAGCCTCAGGGCTGTGCCTGGCTAGTCTACCATGGTGCAAAAGGCAGACATCTACATTTCCAGAAGGGACTCATGGCTGCTGGCAGTTGTGTTGTTATTGTGATACCAATCGTCTTCCATATCCTGAGAATCCTGAGATGATAAGGCATGATTTGCTCTATTTATGCAGACCATTCAAATCACACAAGGTACATGAAGCCCTTCCACAAATACTCTACTACTAACTAATTCCTCCAGATGCAGTATGAATGCCTCTCTCTTATCTTTCCCAACAACTCCTTGCCTTTTTTCCCTCATGACCTTCTTTCCTCATCAGATCCTCAGCCTCACATTTTTCTTCTTTCCCCACTCTGCTCTCTTACATTCCCGTCTTGTACTCTTCAGTCTCTCTCCTTCCTCTCCCCAACAATCCCCTGATCTCTTCCCTTCTGTGGTAGGATTTCCCTGTCACGACACTCAGAGTGCTGCAGGCCAGCCCTTCCCCCTGCTCACATTCTGGGTCTGCCAGGGCACACACGCACTGCAGCACTCTGGTCTCCCAGGTGTGCCTGTGCTTAGTTAAAGGAGGCTGTAGGTCTGTCAGAGGAGACACTGGTATGTGAGTGGGCACCTGAGCCCACTCTTCAGGTCCAGGGCCATCTATCCACAAGAGCAGGCTTCCAACCTGAGCAGAAGTCTAGTGGCTCTGAGCCCTCTGCAGCCTCCCACGGGGCTGACTAGCAGGAGATGCAAAGGGATCTCTGTTAAAGGGGGTGTCTGCTGTATCCTGTGAAGATTACAGGTTCCATGCAGGGATGAGAAATATAGGTATATAGGGTACTGGGAGCTGAGGAAGCTGATGGTTTCTAAGGTTTCATATAGAGATAGTAGAAATGTTCTTGTTCCAGAATACTAGTTGTTTGATTCTGCTTTTTTTTTTTCATGAAAATAAGAACAAGTTTTGACAGAAAGCTGCTTTTCCTTCCCATTATTGGCAGTGAAGGATGACAGAAAATCCAGTACTGTTTTCAATAAAGTTTCCCTTGTGTGCTTATTTGTTTTTGCTCTTGCCACATGAAATGCATTTCACAAGCCTGAGGTTGTTTATGCTTTCGAAGGCTTCACCACATGGGCACAGGCTGGAGGTGCAAATCATGGAGTATCCTCACAGGGGAACAGGGATGGTGAAAAAGGTCTGAGTTGTGAGAGCCTACATGATCCTTTCATCTCACCCAGCATGGCCACTCGTACAGTCTGTTTTCTCTGAATTCTATGTTATGGTCAGAAACAACACACAGTGGTGGTTTTAGCTGCTGTTCGTCGTACTACACATGTATTTTCTGAAATATGGTACCTAGTGACTCAGAATGAAAAAGGTTTGTTTCAGATCCATGGACTTCTGTAAGAGGGCTGGAGAAATGCTGATCAGTGCACAACTATAGCCTTGTTATATGTTGAGCTTTTGGTTACAAGAGGACCCTCTTCTGCTCTGCCTGCCCTACTGCTCTTCACATGGTGGAACTGCTCTCTGATGTAATGTGGTACATCTTGCTGCCCAGTGAGCTCCATGGTTGTCTAACTCTCCCTGCATGGCAATCTGCTCTTCAAGGACTGAAAATTACCAAAGCCTACTGCTGCTGGGACATTTGCAGATGACGTGTTTAAGAAACTGTATTCTGGAATTAGCGATCTGCAGGATCTTCTGTTACAGTTTGCTTGGAATTAATTGTCTCCAACAATTCAGTGAAATGACAGATTCATGCCCAATGTTCTTTTGCAGAATAGCTGTTTTCGAGGAGTTCAGGAAAATCTGTGTTTCTCAGCACAAGGCACGAAGCTGCAGATATCCTTTCTGTCAAAGTCTGAGCCATTGTTCACTTTGGATGGATGGAGGGAACTTCTACATTAGAGCCACATAGGTGTTGGGATTTCTGGAGGTCTTTAGTTCAACTTCCCGCTTCAAGCAGATCAATTGCCAGTGTTGGTCAGGTAAGTCATGGGCATTTTTTTAGCAAAGCCTTTGGAACTCCTTAGAGGCTTTTCAGAAGCTCTACAACCTATCTGGGTAACCTGTGTCATTGCTGTATTACCCACTAGTGAAGGTTTTTTCTATGTCTAACTGGAACCTCTCAGGCCACAATTTGTGGTCATTGCCACAAATGAGAAAGTTTGGCACATTGTTTTTGTAACTACTCCTCTTATAACGTCATCAGACTAAACATGCCCAGCTCCCTCAACCTCTCTTCATTGGACTAGTTTTCTAGGCTTTTGACCATCTTGGTAGCCTTCTGCTGGACCCTCTCCCAAACTGAACAAAGCCCCAAACTGAACAAAGTATTTCAGATGAGGATAACCAGTGGCAAGTAAAAGGGATAATAACTTCCCATGATCTGTTGACCGCACTTATCATAACACAGCCCATTACTTGCTTTGTCTTGTTTCTAGTGAGAGTGCTCTTGGCTCATATTCTTCTGGGCAGCCACCAAAACCTCCAAATCCTTTTCAGCAGCACTACTACTGAACTAGTTAGTTCCCGGCCTGTCCTGACACTTGGGGTTAGTCTTTCCCAGATGTGAACTTTGCACTTGTCCATATTGATCTTCATAAGGTTTTGAGTGGTCCAGTCTTCAGGTTTTTAATGTCCCTCTGGAAGAAAGTTCTGCCTAATTTAGTGTTATTCACAAATTTGATGGTGAATTTTCTGCCATCTTCCAAATAGACTTCTTAACTTCATGTCAATTGAATGTGTGTCCTGCAGGGAAAAAAAAATCTTCCCCAAAAGCCAGTGATCTGTCTTGTTTTTGGAATGGGTGTGTGGGAAAAGTTGGTGGGAAAGAGGAAGCAAGCAAGACTGACAGTGGCAGTCAATAAGGTTGAAAAAGCTGTGAACAGTGTAAGCACTAACTTTAAAGCATGTGCCACTGCACTGCTTTAGAGATGGAAATGGGCACTTAACAGCAGTTCCTCTTCCGTACTGGAACTAGTTGCCACTGGACAAAGTCTTAAATGTGCATTATGATCAAGAGAAGATATGGAGAATTTCATTGCTGAAAGCAAAAAAGAAAAGGTTGTCTCCACTCACTTTTTTCAGACATAGAGCAAGCAGTGACAGTGCAAACAGATTTCAGAGGTTTGTAAATACATCTTTCCTTCCTGCCTTTGGCAGGGCAGTCTGTTATGGTTAGAGGAGCAGAGGGTCTGAGCCTAGTTCCCAAGGTGAAAGACTGGGGACCACCAGACTAGGGGAAAAGTTTCCTTATCCTGCTCCAAAACCTGCTTCTCTATAGGTGCATTCTCAAGTTCCCATTTCATGTTCCCATTTCCCACTGTCCTACATACTAGCATGCTGGAAGTACTTCCACTTTTAGTTGTGCTGCCTTACTAAAAAGTAGTCGCTCACTCCTAGGCTGTCAGCTAACCCCTGGGCCCAGAGAAAGAAAATACACATCTTAAGGGCTGGCAGCAAGTGAGGCAGCTGGTTGATCGCCGTCTCAAGACGGGTCTATTTTCAGCATGTCTGAATCCCCTCTCCTCCATGGGGAATGTCAGCACTCCAGTGCCTTGCCCACACCACATTGCAGTGCAGAACAGTCTATATCCAAAGATGGCTTTCAATGAGCCTCCTCTCTGTTGCCTGTGCTGTATTTTGTTTCCATTACCAGTGGTGTCCAGCCCTGCAGAGATGGAAACAGGGTTAGCAGAAAATGAGTGACAGGATCCATTTCATTCTTTCTGCATCATGACATTTGTTCTTTCAGCAAATCCCTTCCTTCTCAAGGACAAGTTTCCTTTTGGATGTAACTACAGTGAAATCTGGACCATTTACTTCAAATTACAGACTACTCCTTTGTAAGAAGCTGGAAAGCTCACTATGCCAGTGTCACATAAGTTAATCACCTGGGTGGGATAGATAAGCTTTTTTATATGTGTGTGTGTGTGTGTGTGTGTGTGTGTGTGTGTGTATGTATAGATAAAGCTTATAGATAAAAGAGCTTTTATGTATATGAAAGTTTTTATGTCTGTGCATATATATATATACACACACACACGTGTGCGTGTGCGCACACACACACGCACGCACACAAAAACACACACACATATAATCTTTCTTTATAAATTAAAATAATCCAAAGCAGATGCTGTGTAGCCTAGAATACTTTTCAGGGATGTTTGTGCATGTGGCCAGTTGACCAAACACTTCACTGTTTTTTTTTCAGGAGCTTTACGTCATATCCTAGAATGCTGAATGCTGGGTTATCCTCTCAGTCTTTTTTGCCCTTCCTTTTCCAGCCTCCAAAAATTTAGAACAAATGTCAACAGTCTATCCCTTATAGACATTCACTGAGAGTTCATATATTTCCTATGTTCACAACACATGCTGTTACAGCTCTATAATACTTTTCCCTCAACAAGATATTAAAAAAAAATCTATTGAAAACACTGTAAGAGGTTTTCCTTTTCCAGGTTTTGTGTATTTAATGGGAAAGGGAAAAAGGACACGGCTCTAAACTTAGAGTTTTCAAGTGAAAGGAGTCAGTGTTTTAACATTTTATCTTCTTGTTCTGACTGTCTAAAAGAGTGTTTCTGGTTCTTCCATCAGGAGTTAATAGAATAACCTTGATA